ACTTGGAGTAAAATGTGGTCTTGGAGAGCCAGGACAAAGAAAGCCTTCCTATTTGCTCAGTATTTTCTACAAGGAAGCCTGGCACCTGTCTGTCTCTCTCTCTCTCTCTCTCTCTCTCTCTCTCTCTCTCTCTCTCTCTCTCTCTCTCTCGTGCCCGCTCACTCCCTTCCTCCCTCCCTCCTTCCCTCTTTTTCTCTGTCTCTCTGTCTTTGTCTCACTGTCTCTCTCTGTCTTTCTCTGCCTCTCTCTGTGTCTGTTTCTCCCTCCCTCCCTCTTCCTCTTTCTGTCTCTGCCTCTGCCTGTCTCTTTCTATTTCTGTCTCCCTCCCTCCCTCTCTCCCTCTTCCTTTCTCTGTCTCTGTCTCTCTTGATATTGGAAGAGAGATAATGTTAGAGATTATCCTATAATTCCAGTTATTTGTTCCAATAAAGACTGTTTATGAAGTATATTCAGTGGAGCATCCATTACCAGAATCAACAATACTCTCCAAACTGCGGACAGCTGGAGCTGACCCAGTCTCATAGTGAAACTCTAGGAATAAGCCTAAGAATCTCCATGTTAAGCAAATCCCTTGCGCATTTCTTCAGCACAATGAGGTATGAAAGTCTCCACCCAACCAGGGTTCCCAGACTCAGTTGTTCACAGATGCTAGATAGGTAATACAAGTAACTGACAAACTTTAAGTGTGCATGTATCAATCCGCTACTGTTGGTAACAAGCCACCCCCCAGACTCTTCTTCTGTGGCTCTGGGTCAGACACAGCCAGTCTTGACACAGGGAGCGGGTGGGTCAGCTGCAGTGGGCTGCCCTGGGTGGTCACGATGTGGATGACGGGCATCTTGGGAGTCTGCATGGACTAGCTCTGCGCTATCCAGCTTATTCTCAGGATAGTCAGACAGGATTTCAAGAAATAAACAGAACTGCATAGGCACAGAACCGGTGTGCTGTCTCTTCTTTGCTATTCTGAGAGCCACAGTGAGAGGTGGGGCCTGGACAATGGCTGGCTGTGGGAATCACCTCCCCCTTCTGATGGAAGCAGCTGCAATTGCACCAGGAAAGCTGTAGGGTACTGTCGGGGCTATACAGCTCTGTGCTGTCCCAGATCTCCTCTGTCTCCACACTGTGCTCTCAGAGGGCACTGGGTCTCTGTCTCCCCATGCCCTCTTCTCATGAGGACAATGGTCATCAACCCAGGATGAGTGGCTCTCAAGATCCTTGACTAACCACATCTGCAGAGACTGTATTACCAAACAAGATCATGTTCTGAGGTTCTGGGCAATGTGAAATTTAGGAGGACACTGCTCAACCTTTTATAAAAACAGGTTTAACCAGAAGTGAGCTTATTTTGCTCCAGTTATAAGAAATTCAGAGACAGATCACTGTCAGCATGATGGTGCAGAACTCCAGGATATCCCACAGGGTGGAATTCCCTGGTGTTGGTGCCACGTCTGCACCTGAGGCAGAAGAAGAGATGGGAGGAGTAATTTCTGCTCTGGATGATCTTCTTCAGAGATGTACGAATTTTCTAGGAAATGCCCACATCAGTTTTCTCCTTATATCTTGTTGAGTAGAACTTGTTCTAAGGTCATCCCTAACTGAAAGGGGAGGCTGGGAAGTTGAGAAGCCAATCGTGAATCATTGCTGCCCTGAGCATGGGTGTATGGTCATGCTGAAAATCTGTGGTCTGTTAGCAAAGATGAAACCAGGAGTGGGTGTCACTAGGCCCAGGGCCTGCCACTCCAGTTCTCTTCTGACTTTGGTGAATATGGGTCTTTCTGGAGTCTGTCCTGCGAAGTTCAGAGTTCTGGTCAACCTTGAACAGAGTGATCCCACCTACATAACATTACCCTCTGATTTCTTGTAAAGGTAGGGATTCAAAAGAGGGGGTGACTGTGCTGTATTAGTTAGGGTTCTCTAGAAGAACAGAATTGATAGACTAGGTATAATTGTGTGAGAGTTTATTAAATAGGGTCACAGACACAGAAGGAGGACAACCCACAATGGCCATCCGAGCACTGGAGAGAGAAAAATCCAGTGGTTCTCTGTCCAAGAAGATGGAAGCCACGGAACAAGGGGAGCCAAGCATGCAGCACCAGTCCAAGGTCAGAGCTGAAACTCACTGTTAAGATGCGAGGATGAGATGCACTGTTAGTCTGAAGAAACTGGAGACCAGTATCCGAAGGCTGTGGCGAAGACTGGAGCTCTACCAAAACAGGACACATGCCTTCTCTCTCCCCTTTCACTCCATCCAGCTACAAGCCTATTGGTGGAAGCCCCCACATGTAGGGTGGGGCTTTCTTCTCCCTGCATGTTGGTCATCCGGAGCTGTACTGCGCTGGTCTGCTAGGAGTTCCTAACCCATTCGAGCTGACATCCCATGATTAACAGTCACAGCTATCTTCATGGGGATGCTTGAAATGTCTGGTGACATTTTTCATCACTAAGACTGGGGATTCTTGTGTCCTGACCATGGGTCAGGTGTACACATAGTGACCAACATAGCATCAATATAGAAAACACAGAGATATATGAGGGGCACCTGGGACAGTACCCAGGAGGTGCTGTCACACCAGGGTTCTTGGTGGCCGGAACCCATGCAAGGCAGCAGCAATCTAACAAGGTCAGGGACACTGGCCAGACATGGAAAGACTAGGTGTCATGTTATATAGCACAATGATGGTTCCATTTGAAGATTTACACCAAGGGTTGAGACTTTAGGAGCTGCGGTGGTTCGGGCAGCAGGTCTACAAGATCAGCTTCAGGAGCCTCCTAGAGCAGGGATGGCGAACCTTTTGATATAGGGGAATGAAACTCCCAGCCTGAAAGATACTTGGGCTGCATCATGTTCTCTAAAGCCAAAGAATGAATTTTAGGAACAACAGCAGTAAGCAGAATATATTTATTGGGAGAAGAAAAGCTCCTGTTTGAAAGAGGAACAGAAGAGGGACTCAAGCAAGTTGCCCCCAGGAAGCTGTCTCTTCCAGGGACTTTTTATAGAGCAAAACCATGTGGTGGGGCAGGTCTGATGTGGAGAACATGGGAACTCACTTAGGTGGACCTGAGGTGGGACAAAACTATGGTCAGCCAATGAGACTATAAGCACAATTGCTCAGTTAAAATTTATTAAATCCAGGACCAAATGGGAAAGTGAGTTATGTAGCAAACAGGCATGAATACAGAACAGGGGCTTTCCCTGTAGGGGGTTGGGTCAGTGACTCTGGCTTCCAGTTGATTGATACCTATTTGGAATATCAGTTCCATTTATTTGCTCTTTTGTCTTGAGGGTTGGCTCACAACAGGGGGTCCTGTCTCTCTCAAAGTTACAAAGTCACCTAGTCTTCCATATTGTCTCCTTGAGGGCCTGGTCCTGTCTGACTGCCTATAATGTTTCTATCTAATTCAGCTGCCTGCAACACTTTTAGAGTTTTCTGTGATAACAAACAGCCCACAATAGCACATGTGCCATGGGTTCACCACCACTAGAGAGGATTGGTAGCGTGCCCCTCAGGCTGTACCTAGTTAGTTCAGAGAGATGAGGTTTTTAGGTTTGCATACGACGGGCTCTGTCCCTTCCTTTCTGGCACTGCCCCTCTGCTTTGCTCCCCAAGCACCATAGAGCGAGGCACTTCACTCTGTCATGTCTCTCTGCTATGATGTCTCTGCCTTGGGACCAGCTGACCGTGAACTGCATCCCTTGAAACCGTGAACCTGGTTAAAGTTCCCTAAATTGTGGGTGTAGAGTATTACATTTAGCAAGAGGAAAGCTGCCTAGCACAGGAGCCCACTCCACCTTAAGCTAGAACTGTGAGGGGCAAGAATGAGCTGCAGATAAAGTCTGGGTGGACATGGCTTTGACAGAAGTAGAAAATCAAGGGGCCAGGGAGATGGCTCAGTAGAATAAGCGCTTCCCTGGCAAGCACAAGGGCCTGAGTTCAATCCCTGGTTCTGCAAAAAAAGAAAAAAAAGAAAGAAAGAAAATCAGTAGCAGGCATAGGGTTAGGTGTGGAGTGGGGTGAGGAGAAGATAAATTAGGGTCAGTGGCTGCAGCCGCTCTAAGAGACCATCTCGAATCAGAGTGGCGTGACATTAAGCACTGGTTTCTTATCTCCAGCCCAGGCCAGGGCTGTGGTGGTCCTGCAGAGGGCAGGAGTTCCACTACTCCCTGGGCCCTGGGAGACACCTGCTAGTGCTCCGAAGAGGCCAGCAGAGGAGGAGAAGCAGGATGGGGGGCCTGCAGGCAGCTCAGGGCCAGGTCCGGGTGGCCAGTGCACTGCCGGCACCAAGAGCAGGGCCGTGGTCCCACCTAACCTGAGGGAGGCTGGGAAATGTAACCCAGCTGAGAGCCCAGACAAACAGGAACTGGGTCTGGCCGGCACACAGCCCTGGCTCCACCACAACATGTTTAGGTGGTAAAATTATCAGTGCTCTGTAATTGATTCAGTGTGAAGGAGGGAACGAGGAAAGAAGTCTCCCAGGAGGCTGGACCAGGCTAGCGCTGAAGGTGAAGCTGGAAGCTTCCCTCAACTCAAGAACATGGGCTATCTCATAGAAGTACCCTGACAGCAGTCAACACTGACCGATGCTTTCGTTGTGTGACCTGCCTTCCAGTTACAAGAGAAATGCTTCCTTCTGTTTATATTTGAAAAGTAGATACATATTGCTAGGCGTGGTGGCACATGCCTATAATCCCAGCACTTACAAGGCTGAGGCAGGAGGATCACTGTGAGTTTAAGCCTGGCCTGGGTGACCACATTGAGTTCTAGGCCAGATTGAGCTACAAAGTGAGACCATCTCCCAAGAAAATAAAATAATAAAATAAAAGTAGGTCATTGTAATCAATGTCAAAGGACAGATAACTTGAAAGCAAATTAGGCAACTCCTCATCTTTCAGTACTTCTCCCTCCCTTAGTTAGGACTCCTCCCTTATCTGTCTGGCTGTCTGGCTTTGGTCTGAGCCAACAGCAGGGAGCAATTACTGAGTGTTTATTCTGCACGTCAGTCGCTTCGGACTCCGTCAGCACTAGATGCTTCCAGCAGTGCCGTCCAGCAGAGTTCACTGTCCTTCCAGCTGAGGTCAGAGTCTGGGTGACAGTCCCCCCTCACCTCTTGGCCACCGTAGGCGGATGAGCCAGCCATGACTTACACAGGTGAGCGGCTCGTGGTGAATAAATGCTGGGTGTCCACCTCAGGGGAATTCCGCTGCAGGCTGCCTGTTTTCAGGGTCTGCAAACAGGGCACGCAGCCCCTCCTTAAGGTCTTTCCTCTTGTGGGCGGTGCAGAGGGAGCCAGTTGGCCTGACTGTAATCCCTGGGTATCCTGGCTGTGCAGCTGTGGGCAAAGTGGCCAACTTTCCTGGCCTCCTTTTCCTTATCTGCAGGGCAGAGGTCATCCTGGTAACATCTCTGGGATGATGAAAAGATTGAAGGACATTGCATCTATGACGTATATGTAAGAGTGACCACTTCTCAGTACCTGTCCTCCAGGCATGCTAGGGATGCATTTCTCTGTGGTTCTTAAGAAGTTTGACTTTTCTCAGTCTTCCATGGGTCTGATTTTCTCTTCCTCTAACTGAGGTGGCAAAGTAGTCAACGGATCACTTTCTGCTCCTGGTTCAAGCTCCTGCTTCCCATTAACAGAAGAGAATTGAGATATTCTCTCTCTCTGCCTCTCTCTGTGTGTCTCTCCTTGTCTCTCTCTCTCTGTCTCTCTGTCTCTCTTTGCCTCTCTCTCTCTGCCTCTCTGTGTCTGTCTCTGTCTCTCTGTCTCTTGTCTCTCTCTCTGTCTCTGTGTGTGTGTTTCTCTTTGCCTCTCTCAGTCTCTGTGTCTCTCTATGTCTCTGTCTCTCTCTCTCTGTCTCTCTCTCTCTGTCTCTCTCTGTCTCTCTGTCTCTCTCTCTCTCTCTCTCTCTCTCTCTCTCTCTCTCTCTCTCTCTCTGGAAATAATTTCTAGTTTTTTTGTGTCCCTAACTCTTCTCTCCTGACCAGCTCCTTGGATGACTGCTACTTTGCTCAAGCCAGGACTTGGGGTGGGGGCCAGAGGGAGGGGGAACTGGGGATATCTCTATTTCCAGTCCTTGCTAAGCAATCACTTGGGTTATTAGCTTGGGAATGTGACATTTAACAACCAGAACTGAGAGCAGCCTGCTGAGCCCCTGGGGCAGTGGTGGCCTAGTGCCATAACCACACCAGCCATTTATATCTTTAAAAGCTCTAAAAGTCTAGCTATCACTGCCCTGGGGTAAGCTGCCTCAGGCTGGGTGCCGCTTGGCATCTGGCTCTGCCTAAGGCAAGAGGCAGTTGGCAATGGAGGTGAAGTCTGCACTCTTTGCTGTATAGTTCTTCATGCCTGAGGGCAGGAAACAGGCATGGAGAGGGTCAGGAGGCCAAGGTGCCCCCTTTGGGGTGGACAGTCCTTAGAGCTGCCATAGAGTCACAGAAGAACCATGGGACACATGGGAGCAGGAGGAGAACATGGCCCTGCCCCGCTCTGTAGACTGAGCAAGGGATGAAAATCTTCTGTCCTGATTTGGGGGACATTGGACAAAGCTCCCTTAGGATGTTCGGGTGGGAGGTGGGCATTGCTTCAGTAACCCAGGGGCCAGCTAGAAGCAGCCAGTGGCCTGGGCAGGCTGGGTTGGTGCAGAGGCTGCATGGAAGGCTATTAAGGGCACAGCCCAGGACATTGGGCAAGGACCAGGATTTCAGGAGACAGCCTGGGTGGTGCAGAAGGCACGCGCAAGGATGGCCGTCTGTCTTAGGGAATTAGCTTCACAGCATCTTAAACCTGCCTGAGGATCAGCATAGTCTGAAGGCAGGAGGTTATAAAATCATCGCAAGTCCCATTCAATAAAAGACGCAAGCATTGCTACACTTGGGAAACTGGCTCAAGTCTCTGGAGGCCTAAAAATAGCAAGTTTACAGACCTGCAGATTCTTTCCTGGTGACACTGGTCTGTATCGCCAGCTGCCCAAGAGGCAGACAGCAGGCTGGACATGGGTGTTACCGGCCAGCAAGTGCCAGTGGGCGCTGTGCCACCAGATGCAGGCCCTGAGAGGCTGTTGGAGCGGCCAGTGCTCCTTCCGCACTTCTCCTTCCATAATTCACCTTTTTTCTGAGTTTCATTCACTGCACACAGTGGCTGGAGCTACAGTGCACAGTGGATCGTAGCTGCAAGACAAATGGCCTGTGGGATGGCACAGGATGAAGACACGCTGAACACTCCTTTTGAAAAGAGACAAGTTGGAACCAGGTTCCCACTGTGAGGACCTGACTCATGATGATGTCGCCTCAGGGCACTATCACAGCTCAGTGTCTGCTGGGAAATGCCCACGGCAGAGCGCAGAACTGGAACAGCTGCTGACAACACTCAAGTCCTCGGAGTCGGAGTAGCACAGGGACAACTTGTGGGGTGGATGGCGGCAGAGAGGATCAGCTACGATAGGGTACAGCTACCAGGCTGGCTTCACTCTGGGACCTCCTACCAGCTCTCCTCCACCCGCTTTTCAGTCAAGCTGCAGTAATTTTTAACTGCAGGGGTAGGTGCTAAGGTGAGTGAGCGTGAGGTCTTTTACTTTCTGTGAACCACTTCTTCTGCAGTCTAACCTGCGTGCTTGTTTCCAAGTCTTTGCTGGGGACTAAGAGGCCCCCAGATGGTAACAGAAAGAGAGTGGCCTGCAGCTGCAAGAGTCCCGGGGACATGGGGACACTGTGCGAGCAGGCAGAGGCCTCGATGTGGACCTAGGCCCTGGCCGGTGCGTGTATTCCAAGATCTGGCATTCCAGGGAAGCAAGCCCTTCTCCCAAAGCAGACTGCAGGAGCTCTGTCACTGCTGGGACACCCTGTGTCCCTCTGGACTGTGTACAAACACCTGAAAGAAAACACTGGCTTCTTTGGGCTTGGACCCACAGGAGGTGTCACCAGCCTTTCCAGAGAAGGAAGTGTCGTCACCATGACTGACAGAACATGCTCAGGCCAGGTCATACCTTGTTCCGCCTGCACTGTGCTGCTTAAAAATCCTAAATAGAAATCTCTTTAGAAGTCGTAGACCTCAGCTTTTGTCCCTGACACTGCTCCACAGCCTGACCCTCCTTCAGGACCATGACTGGAGAAGGTGCTCACGTTAGTCACAGGGCAGGAAAAAGGAGACACCACAGTCTCTATGACTCTGTGCATCCCAGTTCTGACCTATTCCACATGTGACAGATCTGAGTCGCAGCTCCTGAGCCAGTAAATGGAGTGCTGAACCTTGCCTCAGGTGGGCTACCTTCAGAAACAGCACTGACAAGTCCATTGCTTTTATTTGCAACTAAAATATTTGTTTCAGCTTCTGTTTGGATATACAATGTACGCATCATGGGATGAGGATGCACACACATGCTGTACCTTCATCTTTCCAACTTGCCCTGCCTCCCTCCACTCTCCTAGCTTCCCCATCCACAGGTCCCAGTCCCATCTCCACAGTCTCTCCCTGCTCTATCAGCCTCTCATTGCAAAAATGTTTAGGAAGTGTGGATGTTCTGACTTTAGGATGTCTGGAGAAAAGAAAAAAAAAAAATCTGAAGTGTCAACATTTTGCTCTGTCTTTGTGGTCGACTCTTGGTTACTGGATGAAAATTCATCCACCCATCCATGTATCATTCATGCCACAGATCTACATGGCATTCTTTTCTTGTCACATGTACAGGACATGCAACAATGGAAGGCAAGGACCCATCACTGCAGAACTTCCCATCCAAGGGTCAGCGTAAGGACACAGGATCAGACACGCACGGTGGTCCCCAGCACTGCCTCTGCCCATGTGAACAGGTGCCAAAGCAAATCATTCAACACTGTGATAAATTTCAGCGTTGCTCAAATTTCAGTTAGACTGCTCACATCTAACTGTGGATCTTGTGGCACATAATTGTCAAAGACAATGAACAGACTATGAGTCCATCCTCAGAAGGACAGGAATTTGGTGCTTTCCTTCCGCTGCTTTGTGGCAAGAATTTCTAGGGAATGAAACTAGCAAGCCAGGCATGGTGTTGCACACATGTAATGCAAGCATTCAGGAGGCTGAGGCAAGCGGGTTGCCTCAAGTACTAGGCCAGTCTGAGCTCCATATTGAGTTAAAGGCTAGCCTGGACTACGTAGTGAAATCCTATCTCAAAACAAACAAAAAAGCAATAATAAAACAGTACACTACCCTCCCATGCACGGTGTAAATGGGTTTCTTTCAGGGTGTGAGGTGTTTCTTCAGCCCTTTCCCTACTCTGGTGGCCAAGCACCTAACTTTGGACCTTGTGGGATGCACTTGTCGAAGCCCCACTCTCTTCTCTGCCTCTCACTGTGGGTCCTGGACTTGCTCTCCCCAGGCACGCTGCCATGGTAACTTGGAACCCCTTACCCTTGTGACTGTATATATCCTGCTTTTATGCCACAGGCCCTGAGCACTGTCCCCCTGCCTGGCAAAACTGTCCCCAAGCTGCTCACTGCCTCCCTGGAATCTGGCTCAGGCACCTCTATAAAACCTTCATTGTCCCTGGTCCTTTGACACATGGGCAGGATGTGATGGGTTCAGGACTTCGATTTGTGCTTTAGCTTCCTGTACTGGGGACAGCAACTGTGCTAACCCTGGCCACTGTTCAAGCTCAGCAGAAACCTAGTGTCCAGTGCTCAGTTACTGGCCAAGTAAAAGAACTTGCATTCAAGATGTTCCCTGGTAGGACCTTAGGCTCCAGACCAGCCTCCTGTTAGCCACTCATCATTCTCTGGAGTCTGAAATCTAAGGGACTTGATCAGACGCAGCTACTGCCATCATGCAAGCCATTGGCTTTCGTGACAGTTAAGCTAGATTGGCTACTTGATTGGCTAGGGCGTCTGGGCATGCCTCGGTGGGTCATGGAGGCATGACCTTGGGGCTTAGATCCAGTCCTGGCACCCTTCCTCTCTGGTGCTGTTGCCCTGCTCTGCTTTCTGGCCACCATGAACTGAACAGCTTGCTCCCCATGCCCACCATGATGCCCCTGCTTGGGGCCAACTGACCATGGACTGAATCCCCTGGAACCAGGAGCCAAATAAACATCTCTTTACGTTGTTTCTGTGGAGTGATTTGTCCCAGGGACAAGAAGGCTGACTGGCGCATGTTCTTGCCTCTGCACTATGGCTCAGATACCTGATTGCCTGGACACTTCACTGAAACCACCTTTGCCTCACCTGTGCAGCCCTAGGCTCCCATACCGGGATCTAAACAAAACCTCCATGAAGTTGCCCTGGGGAAACCACCAAAGTGAAGGTATTAAGAGGCAGAGATTTATAGTACTGAGGAACACTACCTTAGAGATTTCCAAAATGAATCACAAGGTTTCTTGTATTGCCTCAACTAGATGATCTAATTGGTGGTTCAATTAAACAATTACAGTATTTAATGTTTCACTTTATGTCCACTGTCCCGAGTCACTATAGTTTGTCAGAGTGGGAAATTTACCTCTGGGGATCTACATCCTTCAGTGGCTCTCACACCGTGGCCTGCAGTCAGTACAGATGTGGATATGGATGCGGCCCTCTTTCATAACTCATAGACAGGGCAGGTGTCCTGGGCTCACAGGAATTGCTAGCCTTCCAGAGAAAATCTCTTAACAGCAATTCAGCCTTTGAAAAATGAGTAAAATGTGACACCCAGCAAGAGAGCTGTCCTTCATTTACCATTGCCCCACAAAGCAGAGCCCTGGGAACCAGAAAAGCACTCACGTCTAACTACGTAAGGTGTATCGACTCAGGACAAAAGTATCCCAAACCCTCAGCAAACCCATTCTAAAGAAGAGGTTGGCCTTAAGGATGAGGTGCAGGGTTTATTTTTTAATTTTTTTAAATGTATTTAGTACAGGGGCTATAGGGTCTCATTACAGCTCAGACTCATCGTGATTCTCCTGTTTTCAGCCTCCCAAGCGCTGGGGTTATAGCATGAACCACCACGCCCAGTCTCAATCGCCATCTCCGCATGCCCTAGGGGCGGGACCCACACACAGGCCAGGGATCATACTGCTGAGGCACAGGACTTATGTGTGCTTAAAAAGGTAAGCAGTTACTAATTTTTAAAAAAAGACAGAAATGATTGCTTGATGAGCAAAGTTGTCCTCATGAAAGAAACTGTCAGAGTGAAAGAAGTCATGCCCAATCCACTTTGTCTTCATCTCCAGCTATGCGTAAAATTGCTCTAAAATTCACTTCCCTTCCTTTTGCGGTGGGGCATACGCGTCAACACGTTTGTAGTTACTAAACTGTGTCTGTTGTGAGGGAACACTGTTTGTTATCACTGGCTGAGGTCTATCCCGGGGAGACGGACTGCTTCCGGAGGATGCTCTTGGCATATTCTAGGGCTGTGGGTCATTGTGCATGTCTGTAGGAGGAACACAGCACAGGAACGGCAGCGACACTCATCTAAGGTCTCTGCTGATTCACACAAACCAGACTGAAAAGCTAGGCATGGTAGGGGCAGTGTGTGCATATATACTCTGACCAATGACCTGACCAGTGTGTAAAGGATTCTGGAGTGACAGACAGAAGTATCTACTTCCAGTCTGGACAATGAAATGACAGACTTGGGGATGTTCCCACCTTACTGCACGGGGAGAAAAAGCTCCATGCAGATGCCCAAAGCAAACAAAACATGCAGCCAAGAGAATGGCATTTCTAGAATTCATATTTTTCAACCAACTAACCAATTTGCTGCCAACACTAGCATTATTTATATGCTGCTAGTTAAAGTTTCTTTTAAAAGAAAACCCGGTAAATTGATATTCAGACAGCAGCCTCTTGAGTCTTCTGATGTCCAAAATGCGACATAATTCCATGGGAGGAAAAAAGAATATTTAGCATAAGTCAAAACCGATCGCTACAAAAATCACTGACATCTGTGGGGTTTTTGTTTTTGTTTTTAGAATAAGAGAATGATTTGAGGGCAAAGTATGGATACTGCTTCCAACTAGTAGATCGTGAAACAAAGCAACAGTTCAGCATGTTGATACTGTCAAAGTAAATAATTAAAAGAGATTCTCCTAAGACCAGTTGAGTTTATGTAGGAGTTGCGCTGCACCAAGAATACACAGGTCATGGGCAACTGCATGTTCAAACAAGTGGAGGTGAGGGGAAGTTTTTCAAAAGACAATAAGGAGGGTTGCACAGGGTACCTGACACAAACGCAACAGCCGTGGCTCCACTGCCACGTGTGGGGCCTGCCCAGAGGGGCCACACAGTGGCGGGCGAGCATCCCTGCTGATGTCCCCTTTGGCTAAGGTTGCTGAGGCATTTCTGCAGGTGTGGCGTGGGCAGGGCGACGCTTCCTGTCAGGCACCCTTCCTTCCTACCCCCAGCCTTCTTTTCTTATGTTCTGTAAGGGCCGACATAAGCAGCCCCCTTCCGATGCGGCCAACTTTGCAGAGCACCAAATGATCAGCTAAAGCGAGGGGGACTACTCTTAGGCTGCTTTTTCCATGAGCTGTGTTTAGAATTTCCTCAATCAAATGTATGTGTTCACTTTCAGCAGCTTCTTTTGTATTATACTTTACATTCAAAAAATGTAATGCCCTTTAAACTTATTTTTGTGCACAACAAGAGCTAGAAAATCATATTTTTTTTCTAAATAGTTGACCAGTTAGTCTGCACACTGTTACTCCATTGACTGAGCTTAGGATGTAACGAAATTCTTGCAAACACTTGAGTATACTTCTAAAGTTTCCCTTTCAGGGGGCTGGTGAGATGGCTCAGTGGTCTAAAGCACCTACTTAGAACAAGTTCAGCAAAGCACAGGGACCACGGACTTCTTTGTCCACTTTGTGAACAGAAAAGTACCATATTAACTATTAGACTATAACAAATTAAAATCTGGTAAGGAAGATGCTCTTCTCAATTGAATTTTTAAAAATTATTATATTATAGAAAACTTATTATCCTAGATAAATTTTGGAATAATTTTATTAAGTTGAAAAGCAAAACCTTCATGGTGTTATATAAACTTCAGTATATTAAATTATATTATATTTTTGTATTTATTTATTTATCTATTTTTTTGCAGAACTACAACAACAACAAAAAAAAAAAAGCAAAAAAGAAAAAAAGAACAAAAGAACAAAAATTGCAGGACTGCTCCATTTGTTACATGACGTCATTCTCCAGCAGTGAAACCCACTTAGGCACAGCATATTATTTGGAATGTACTAACAATCAACATACACAGTTTATTGTATGTCTCACATATGTGATACTCATATATTATAAATAGAGATATTTTTCCTTAAACATTTTTTTTTCATTTATGCATTTTGTGCAGGGTCTCACTACACAGTTCAGACTCATAGTGTTCCTCCTACTTTCAGCCTTCCCAGTGCTGGGATTACAGGCATGAGCCACCAAGCCTGAACTCAGGATCTGGCTTAGCTCGCCCCAGGGGCGGGGCCAGCACAGCATGTGGACTGGGAAACGTTTTTGGTAATGGTTTATAAAACTATTTCACCATAGTACCATGAAAGACAGACTTCTGATAAATTTTAAGTTTTCTAGAGCTCTTTTCCTCGAGTTCATTTTTTCTATCTATCTATCTATCTATCTATCTATCTATCTATCTATCTATCTGGTACAAGGTCTCACTATGCAGCTCAGACTCATAGCGATGCTCCTGTCTCAGCCTCCCCAGCACTGAGATTACAAGCATATGCCACCACACCCAGTTTAGGTGGCTGGCTGGATGCCAGGGGTTCCAGCACAGCATGTGGGTCCAAGGATTGAACCCAGGTCCTTGTGCTTGACCGGAAGACACTGAGCTGTCTCCCCGGCCCTTTTCTTAGGCTTCTATTTCTTACCAAATTCATTTGAGTTACTTGTGCTTTACTAATGCAACATGTATTTCATCAGGATTTTCAGTTTATATGGCATAGAGTTCTGTTTCTGTCAATTTTTTTTGTATTTCTAAGTCATCTTTGCCTTTTGTTTTGAAGCACTCTTTCTTGTTAACGGAATACTCACTGTGTGTCACATGTTATCCCTGAACTGTAAGGGCTGGCAATCCCAAGGTCCTTCTGTGCTCTCTGCAATTTCCCTACCACTCTGGGCCCATCGGGACATTGTCACCAATATGGAGCTTCACTCAGTACCACGAATGTACAGAGGTCTGTAGGAATGAGATGGAGGCAGTGGCTGGAGAAGTGTCACTCAGCCACTCACTCTGAAAACCATGCAGGTGAACAAGGAATCCGTGCATTCTGACAGAAAGAAGGGACCAAAAGGCAAGCTTAGAGTGACACCTAGGGACACTACTGCCTCTGAGGAGCATCCACCTGTGCGGGTTCCCAGCCACAGACCTGGGGGAAACATGGGGTCCCGGTTGGTCAGCAAGGCCAGCAGCAAGCAGCAGAATTGACTCTCAAACAGGGGAGAGTGAAGAGAAGTTGGCAGGGGTCTCTGCATTTGCCTGTCACATCTGACACAACGGCCTTCCAAGACTGCTAACTTCTGACTTCTGACCTACACCATCCAAATCTTAGATGTCTGCATTGCTTAACACTTAGTAGAACCATGAAAAGAAAGCGTTGTTTCTTTCCATACACAGGCACTGCAATCCTCAGCCTTTGCCAGGCATATACCTCATACTAATGTGTTGACTCATGACTTCCTGGTATTATTTTGCACTTTCATTTTGATATTTATGAATTTGTCATGGTAAGTATCTATGTACTATTATATACTTAGATCATATACTATTTACATACTAAGATTAAAAATATAGCGAGTGCTCTACATCAGGGTCTCTAACCAACCCCTGGGTCATGAACAGGTACTGGTGTGTGACTGGTAGGAACTGCAACGCACAGCAAAAGGTGAGCAGCAAGCCAGAGACTAAAGCTTACCTACTCCCTGTCACTCTCATCACTGTCTGACCTCTTCCTGCTGTCAGTGGCATTGAATTCTCATAGGATCTCAAGTCCCACCACAATCCCATGAGCTAACCCTAGACAAAATGAGTAAAACACAAATGTTCAGTGGAGAGCTTCCTTTAAAAGCAGAAAAAGCCCCAAAGGGAGACAACAACAGATGCTGATGGCCAGGTATGCAAGTGAACTAGGTTGTATGCTCCATGTGAGAATCTGAGGCCTGATGATTTGAGGTGGAGGTGAGACAGTGATGCTAGCACTGGGGAACAGCTGCAAAAGCAGAAGAACACTAGCAAAGAGGTTTGGTTGCAGAGAATGCAATAAATGCAACAAATCAATCACTTGCAGATTCAGGTCAAAGTCCTATCAGTGAATGGCAAGTGGCAAGTGAGTTGCTTTGGTGGTGGGCTCTGCAATGGCAGTAAGTTGGGGACTTTACTTGTGTAGCTGCAGCTGGTGGCAGGCTTTAAATCAGAATCTGGTATTCAGTCTTTGCGCAGGCTGCCTGTTATTTTTATTGACCACTTCCACAGGTGCCTCGTTTCCACACTGCATACTTGGATATAGTTATAAATCCCCTGACATAACTATAGACAAAGTGAGTAGAAAACAAACATTCAGTGGAGAGCTTCTCTTAAAAGAGAGACACCAACAGAT